TGTCCCCAGCATCCATCCCCCAGCACACAGCAGGTTGAGTCAAAGTTTATGTGGAGGCTCATGTCAAGATGCTCTGAAGAAGATCATCCTGAACATTCAGAGATGAACTGTCATTCCCAGCTGGCATTAAGATGTTTAACAGGCTGAGGTTGCTCAAAAATAGACTGAGCACTCAGGCAGGGCCGCGTGGGCGTGCAGGCTGCATGCCCTGCAGGTGGTGCGGGTCAATCATCGGGGGACACCCTCAGATTCCATGATACCCATCTCCTCCTTTCCCAGGGGCCCCAACCTGGGCAGCCACCTGGCAAGGGAGGGGCAGGGATCACCCCTACACTTTTCAAATGCGGACCTGCACACAGCCCCCTCTTCCTGAGTGAGAGCGTTTCTGGGACTCCTCCTGCCTGGCCATCCTGCCCCTCCTGGGACATGCAGAAGGCCCCAGCAAGCCTTGATGCAAATAGTGCTCAATTTCCTGGGCTAAAATTACATCTTGAGTCAATTTTCATAAAGTGCAGTGACAGATTTAGGTGCTGGGAAGATGGAGCTTTCTCAGAAGGCATTAAAATGACCCAAACAGTTAAAATCAGCTGGAACTCAACAGCCAGGGGCTGTGAGAGCAGCTTTCATCCTTCTGCGGCCTTATGCAAACAGGGAGGTCTGGACCCTGCCTGTAACTGCTGTGCCCGCACTTGACACCCTCCAGCCATGGGACGAGTATCTCTCGGCCAAGATTCAAGCTCAGGCAGGGACATTTGGCACTGAAATGTGGAGCCATGGGAATGGGTTTGTGTTTACCAGGGAAAGCAGTCTTCCATAGCAGGGGCCGCTCCATAGAGGTGGGTCTGGATTATTCTTTAACCTCTCCATTCCCGATATTTTCCTCTGCAGGTCACACAAAGAATCAGGCAAAGCAGTTGGGCCTTTGATGTGTTTGAGGGAAACGTCCCTTCTCTAGAAGTGGCTTGAAGCCTGTGTCCCAGCGTAGCCCATGCAACAGAGCTCTGCCACCATCGCCCCTGAAGGCTGGACATGGGGCTGATGGATCTTATAAACAGCATCAGCCTCCTCTCTGACATTCTGACCCTATGAGCCCAGCAGTCCTCAGTCTGAGGGTCATGAGCTGCCTTCAGCTGTCTCTTCCTGTATCTCACCCCCAACACCCTCTTCGCTCGCTCTGTCCGGACAGTCTGTCTGTCCCTCTGGATGCACTTCCAGCCCTTCCCCACCCTGCTCTGTGCCTGGGAGGCCAACCTATCTGGACTGGATCAGCAGCCCCAAGTCTCCCAGGAGGTTCCACCAAAGGGAGGTGAAGGCAGGAGGGCAGAGGGTGGGGAGAACGAGTGTGGCCGGGCTGACCTCGCACCTCCACTGAGGGCCCTGCCCCTGCAGAGAAGCTCCCCTGGGGTTCCAGGAGCCACCCCCACCCTCCCCTTACCGCCTCAGGCCTGGAGAGGTCCCACTGTTGCCAGCCTCTGCGATTCACCAGCCCTCCTTGGTTTCCTTGAGCCCCGCACACTCCTTTATAAATAGCCTTTTATCATATGTCTCAACTACCCAAGACCGAGACTGGCCTGCTTCCTCCCATCCCCTCCAAGCCTCCACCTTTGTTGTTGGGCCCTTGCAAGCACCATGTCTCCTGGCTTCACTGAAACCCAGCTTGACTCAGCTCCCCCAAGTGGACGCTCCCTCTGCGCTGGGGTCGAGCACCCTGATTCCAACAGCCGAGGCCAGTCCCCCTCCGTTACAGGACAAGGAGGGTGAACCCGCTGAGTCCCAAAGTTCCTTCCAACCCACAGTCTCCTCTGCTCCCCGTCAAGCACCCCTTAGATAGGTGACTGGTGTTTAGGTTCCAATTCCATCAAAAACCCGAATGACAGCCTGGCTGTAACGTTCTCTCCTCTGAGCTCTCGTTCTGTTCTCATCAATACCTCGCATCACATCCTCCTTCTGCATTATTCTTGCACGGGGATCTCCCCTTCCAGGCTGAAAACTCCCTGTTCCATCTGTGTTTTTGGTGAAACTCTTCTTTTGGCCTGTCTCCCTCTTTCCCTCAGCACCTCATGGATGCTTCCTATTGTAAATATTGACTGAAGAGGGACCAGTAAGGCCCAACAATCTGGCCGATGCTGTAGAATAATATTTACCGAATGAAGACTACAGAGCAGGCACGTTATATCCACTTTGCCCTCCCCTCATCACAGGCCTGTGAGCTCGGTGTTATCCCCGTATTATCTCCATGTGTGGAAACAGAGGCTAAGAAATTTGTTCCAGAAAGGGCTGGAGCCAGGAGTGAATGCACAGGTGTATCTGACCCCAAGGCCTGTCTCCTTTCCTCCGTTTCACCCTGTGGTATGTGTGATAACAAGATGCAATGTGGGCACTTCCCTATCGGTTCAATCCTGTCGGTCCAATGGTTAAGACTCCGTGCTTCCAGTGCACGGGTTCAGTCCCTGGCTGGGGAATTACTATCCTGCATGCCCCAGGCATGGCCAAAAATTAAAAAAAGATGCAACGTGGACAACTGGGGACCCTGACCCAAATGAGACAAGCCTCATTACAGAGTGTAATTAAGGGTTCGTGGAGCAGCGCCCTTCTGAAGAGGCCCTTCCGGACTTTCTTGAATGAATCACCGAGATGTTAGGACACTCCTGCTCTCTGTGAAGCTCTGCCAAAAGGCCTCAAAAGTAATGAGTTCATTTAGGCTAAACATTTCCCCTGCAAACTAGTTTAGAGTCTTGGAAAGGGCGAAAAAGTCAACAATAGCCCAGTCCCTGGGGAAATATTGCCCATACATTTTATGGATAAAATTTACCCGCTTCGGCCACTTGCTTCTGCCAAATCTGAAGGAGGGAGTAGCAGGGAGGAGGACAGGTGATGTTCTGGCCAGCCCACCAACGAGGAAGCAGTTCATGACTTCCTCCAAAGTTCAGGACTTCCACCAAAGGTTCACGACTAAGAGTCTGAATTACTGAAGCTTTACGGGCCTGGCAGTCCCTCATTCTCACCAAGTCACCAGGGACCTCCTACCCCTGCGGGCTCTTGGCTTTTTGACTTTTTCTTCTCAGGCACCATTCCCTTCCTCCCCTCTCGGCAGGCCCCGGGGGCTAGACCTGTGTCCCTCTGCTCTTTGAAGCTGCCTCTGTCCCGTTAGATAGAGCGCCTGCCTCTCTCAGTGGAGACCCCAAGCCGAGTCTCTATTCAGAGCCCTGGGCCTCCTCCCTCCCTGTCGCGTGAAGGGCACAGGTGGAGCTGCCAAGGTCAAACTCTGTCTCACGCCATCCTGGATCCTCTTCTGATCACCAGGAGCGAGCTCAGGGTGCACAATACAAAGACCACGGAAAACCACCTCCAGATAAATTCACCCCCACCTCCTCAACCATGGCAGAAAACAACATTCTTCACCTCCCAGACTTTCACATCATCCTTGTTTGGCCAGATCCTCTTCTCCAAGAGTAAGGAGGTCTGCCCCTTCTTTGTTCAGACAGGAGCCAGGGGTTACCAGGACCCTTCCCTTGACCCCGTTCCCCCTTTTATTCTCTGCACCTGAAAACCAGCTGGCATGGAAGGTGCAAGGGAAGAAGGAAGCAGAGTTAGGAATGGGACAAAAGCTGCCACATCCTTGCTGGCCTCTGTCACCCGCCTCTTTTTCCTAATCCAGTCACTCATCCAACAACCATTTGTTAACACCTACTAGTGGTGGCTCAGATGGTAAAGTATCTGCCTACAATGCGGGAGACCTGGGTTTGATCCCTGGGTTGGGAAGATCTCCTGGAGAAGGAAATGGCAGCCCACTCCAGTATTCTTGCCTGGAAAATCCCATGGACAGAGGAGCCTGGTAGGCTGCAGTCCATGATGGGGTCACAAAGAATTGGACATGACTGAGTGACTTCACTTTCACTGGTTTTATGATTTAGAGTGAAAAATGATTGGGAGGCAGGACTTCCCTGGGGGTCCAGAAGTTAAGACCCTGAGCTTCCAGTGCAGGAGGTGTGGGTTTGATCCCTGTTCGGAGAACTGAGATCACACATGCTGTGGGGTGTTGGGCGGGGAGGAAAGCGGCAGGGAGGCAAAATTAAGCAGGAAAGGGCATATGTGCTAGAGAGGTTGAAATGTTAGAGTGGGTAGCCAAGGGAAGGCCTTGATGGGGTGATGTCTGAGTCAAGATTTGAGGGAATTGTGAAGGGGCCACAGGAACATCTGGGAAAAGAGCATCCCGAGAGAAGGAACGGCAAGTGCAAAGACCCTGAGGCAGGAGGAGGCAAGTGGGGCTGGAGTGGAGTGATGGAGGGGATGGGCAGCAGGGGATGGGTCAGACAGCTCAAGGAAGTCAGACCCCACGGGGCTTGGTGGGCCACCACAGGGATTGCGGTTTTGCAAGAGCTGCTGGAGGGCTCCGACTGAAGGAGGGACAGGGTTTGTCTTGGGTTTTAATAGGATTCCTCTGGCTTTTGGGTGAGGAATAGACTAAAGGTATCTAGCACCCACCCACTAAAAGTCTCTGTGACTCTTGACAGTAAGCCCTTCAAGTCTGCCCTCTCCTTAGACCCCCTGTCACCAGGGGCAGAAGACATATGGACTCTGGTGGGACAATGGAATTGAAACAAGGCTGGAAACGTGGTCATCCTGAGTTATGGCAGAGCTTGAAGCCAGACTAAGGAGTTGGGAGTTGATTCAAAGCAGAGGGGAGTCACCTAATTAAAGCCACCCTCACATTAGTCAAAAAACCACAGGAAAGCCGCTGTGACGACAACATGGTGCTAGATACTGTACCCACGCCTCAGGCCACGACCCTGGTGGGCCAGGACTCCCTGTCTCCCTGCTCAGACCGGGGCTCCCTGAGGACAGGGATAAGACTCTGCATGCCTTACTATCCTCGGGAGCTGAGACGCTGGAGTTGGTAATCAATCATCAGGTGGGAGGACTCCAGAGTTAGATGAACAGACAGACAGACCATCAGGGACAGGATGGCGTTTCCAGGGTGGGAGAGGGACTGTACCTACCTCCCGCCACTGCTTGTTCTCCATCCCTTGAGTATACATGACGCAGACTGTGAGGAGAGGAGAGAAAAGAGGGTTAATGCTCCAGGCCAAGAGGAAGATGTGCGCCCCAGGCAGGGAGGGCTCTGGGGGGTCAAGCATCTCAGGACACTCCGTCTTGGTTAGCCTTGTTGGGTCTGGCTGGGGATGAGGTCAGCTTGGAGTAGAGGGCCTAGAGTATAGGGGTCTGGGAGGAGGGTCAGGGCCACTCGAGTCGAGGCCAGAGCAAGTGTGAAGTGTGAGGCAGGTGGACAGGTGGGCCTGAAGGAGGACTGAGCGGCAGAGATGTGGCAGGAGGGAGCATCTGAGACTTGTCTGTCCCTTTAGAGCCCAAGGTGGCCTCATGAGGCCTATTGTTACCATCAGCCCCACTTTCCTGATGGGGAAACAGAGGATCAGAGGAGGCCAATGACCTGTCTGAGGTCATATACTTGAGCGGCATTGCTTAGAGCTAGAACCCTGGGCTCCAAAACCAGTGCTCATGCCCCTAGGCCACAGACATTTGGGGCTCTTAAATGCACAGGTTTCCCTGGGACTGAGACCTTCTGGCCCCAAACACCCTGAGTCCTCCCCACCCGCTTGGTTGTGTTGAGGCTTCACACCCTCCCGCCCCATCAATTCTCTTTCTGCAGACAGCATCGATGAAACATCAGACAGCCTTGATGTACGGGAACAGTGCCTCGTAAAGAGTAAGCACTCAGTACTGGCTCCCGTGTCAGCCACTGTAGTAGTCTTAATGCCATTGTTCACAAAGGAAACCATAAACAAAACAAAAAGGCAACCTATGGACTGGGAGAAAATACTTGCAAACAATGTGACCCAACAGGGCTTAATTTCCAAAATATACAGACAGTTCATGCAGCTCAATAACAAAACAAACAAGCAACCCAATCAAAAACTGAGCAGAAGGTCTAGATAGACATTTCTCCACAGAAGACATACAGATGGCCAATAGGAAGGACGCTCAACATTGCTTATTATCAGAGAAATGCAAATCAAAACTACAGTGAGGTGTCACCTCACACCAGTCAGAATGGACATCACAAAGAAGTCTACAAGTACCAAGTGCTGGAGTTGTGGAGACAAGGGAACCTTCCCACACTGTTGGTAGGAATGTAAATTGGTGCAGCCACAATGGAAAACAGTATGGAGGTTTCTTAAAAAACTGAAAATAGAGTTGATGTAAAATCCTGCAATCCCACTCCTGGGAATATATCTGGAGAAAACTCTAATTTGAAAAGGTACATGCTCCCCAGTACATGTACTATAGCACTATTTACAATAGCCAAGCCATGGATACAACCTAAATGTTCATGGACAGGGGAATGGGTACAGAAGATGTGGTACATATATTCAATGGTCTATGACTCAGCCATTAAAAAGAATGAAATTTTGCCATCTGCAGCAACATAGAGATGGTCCTACTGAGTGAAGTAAGCCAAACAGAGAAAGACATATATCATATGATAATATTTATACGTGGAATCTAAAAAATTATACAAATGAATTTATTTACAAAACAGAAATAGACTTACAGACACAGAAAACAAATTTATGGTTATCAAAGGGGAAAGGTAAATCAGGGGAGGGATAAATCAGGACTTTGGGATTACTACTATATATAAAAGAGATGAATAACAAGGTCTTACTGTAGGGCACAGGGAAGTATATTCACTATCTTATAATAAAATATCATGGAAAAGAACAAAATAAACCAAACATAATGCAGTTGTTATTGTTGCTACTGTTACTACTGTCAGAGCAGGACTTACGTGGGTCAGACTTGGAGAACATGTCTTTGTCCAAGAGGTTCCTAAAAGAGGGGGAGAGAGCAGGAGTTAGCAGAGCCCCGGGATCTCAGGGGATTCAGGCTGTTACTGAGACCCAGAGGCAGCCTCAGGCTTGGCTTCAGGCAAACAGGAAGCAGGAGGCTGCCCCTGCATGGTTTAGTAGGGCTCATTAGAGCTGGGTGGGCCCACGAGGTTGCTCAGCTCAGCCTTTGTAGGGTGCCTGATGCTCCCTATCTCTCACCCCCACCCCCACGCACTCCTGTGGACCCCGGTACCCTAGCTTGCACAGCACCTTGCTCTTGGGCCAAATCCCAATTTGCCCAATGTTCTAAAAATTCTGTTCTAGAAATTCTTCTTTTACCACTTCTCTGTCTCTGAAAAAATAAAACGAGATCAAGCCATCAAACTTCTCCAGTCACTGTTCCGTTCTCCCAGGGCTCTACTTAGAGCCAGTTGACTCAATCATCTCTCCTGTGCCTAAGGATTAATTAATGACACCTCCCAGGAGATGCAGACTCATTTGAACAGGGTCCTTCGGTGATCAAGGCCAGAGCGCACACATGGCCCTAACAATCAGACTTGAAGTCATGCAGTAAGATGATGGACACAACAGGGAATTCCATGGTGCTCTCATTGCCAGGGTTCAGTCCCTGGTTGGGGAATGAAGCTCCTGCCAGCAATGTGGCATGGTCAACAACAAAAAAAGATGATGTAGCATCGAAACATGTATATTATCAAGTGTGAAACAGATCGCCAGCCCAGGTTGGATGCATGAGACAAGTGCTCAGGGCTGGTACACTCGGATGACCCAGAGGGATGGGATGGGGAAGGAGGCGGGAGGGGGGTTCAGGATGGGGAACACATGTAAATCCATGGCTGATTCATGTCAATGTATAGCAAAAGCCACTACAATATTGTAAAGTAATTAGCCTACAACTAATAAAAATAAATGAAAAAAAAATGGACACAGTGTTTGGGGGCAGAGAGACAGGTGTGGATCCCCCTCCCACCCTGCCTCTGTGCGATCACAGCTCCCACTCACTGAGCCCCAGGCACTGCGCTCAGTGCTGGGCAAATATTAGCTCCCAATCCTCTCAGGGTCCTGCAAGGTCAGTGCCAGGGAGGCAGGATCCCATCTAACAGGGGCAACTGGGCAAGCCTGCACATCCTTGTCCCTCACTGCACAGTGACCTGCTGCTGTCCTTGCGCAGGGAACAACATGGCCCGATGGAAACTTGGTCTCCGGCTGGGAAGTGACTCCACCTCTCTGGGCCGGTTTCCTCATCTGTGCAACAGAGAGTACCAGCTTTGAAGGTTGCTGATGCTCGGCCTTCCCGCCCTCCTCAACCCTCAGAGTCCCCGTCCACATCGTTTCCTCCTGCTTCTCGTCCAAGGTCTCTCCCAGGTGGACAGGGTTGCAAATAACCAGGGAGTTGACACTCCCCGGGGCAGCCTTCAGCCAACGATGGGCAGGAGGTGGGGCATCAATGCCCAGTTTCCTCACTCCCCGCCACGCCCCGGGGATCGCTCTGTGTCCCACACAGCCCCCCAGAGGGGCCCGCCGGGAGACCTGCTCCTTGAAGACGCTTGTTGACCCCGGCAAGGCTTCATTGTTGAAGGGGCGTCCTGTGAGCCGCCCCCCACCCCCGCTGCCACCCACCTGTCGGTGCTACTGACTCCTTCCTACACTGCCCTAGAGTCACGCTCTGCCCTTGCCAACCACCTCATCCATGTCCCACCTCCCTCTCAGATGTCCCCGGGGGTCTTGTCATCCCCCTTCTCCACTCCCATGCCCCACTCCCCGCAACAGGCCCCTTGTACCCTTTCCCCAGAGAGGAGAAACCAGACACTGGGCTATGTGTCTTCCTGCCAGCCAACTCCCAGTATCAGAACCGGATTATCTGTTATCAGTTTATCTGTTATCTGTGATCAGATACCAGATAAACCTTCAGGAGTATCTTCTCCCTGAGGAGGGGGAGACTGAGACCCAGGGAGGGACAGGGCGTGGCCAGCAGTGGTAGAGCCAGAGAGCTCTAGAAGGAGACCTTCCCCCAAGTCACCAACACTGAAATCATCAGCAGAGACAGCCTGTCTGGACACCTTGACCCACAGCCAGCCCCACCCCCCACTCTGAGGTGGGACCCCAACACCAACCCACAGACAGACAGACAGACACAGCAGCCTCCTGGTGACAGCACACAGCATGCTCTGCTTCCAGGGAGGCCCCAGACTGTGCTGGCCCATCATTCCAGCTCTGGTTCCCGACAGATTTCCATCCTCTGCTCCAGTCTCCTCACTCAGGGGCCTCTCCCCAAAGGTAGCTACCCTGCTAGCCCTCCGGGACCCCAAAGGCACAGAACCCCTCCATTGGCCCCCACTGCCCCTCTACCAGCCCTGCTCCCAGCAGCGGTCACCTTGGAAACCATCTGATAAACCTCCCAGCCATCTGCAGTGAGCATCAGCTGAAACGACACATACAGGTGGCTCTGAAAAGCAGGCAGCAGAAGCCACAGGTAAGACACCACCTGTATATATACGTGCTCATCCACACACTGAGGTGGGCTGGTCTCTTCCCAGGCGGACACTCCCCTTCTCCATGTGCTAGATTCAGAGCAGGAGCATTGGTCTTAAATTATACAAAATGCCTAAAGTCCAAAGATGACTCTGCAGCGGTGGAACTGAGGCACGGTGAGAAGCCGGAAAGTCATAAAGAAGGTTGAGGGGTGGAGGAGTAGGGGGACTCTTCTTCTCAAGCAAGTGCTGAGGTTTATCTTTGAATTCTATAATGAAGTTCTGTAATTACATAAAGTCCTAGAATGTCCAAGCTAGAAGGGACCTCAGAGGTCACCTTTTCTAATTCCTTTATAAATCAGGAATGTGAGACTCAGAGAGAAGGCAACTGACTTCTAGGTATCCTTCAAGTTTAGTTCTGGAACTGAGCGCACATGAAAGAAAGAGAAAGTGAGAGAAAGAGACACAGATATGGAGTTTTATCTTCCAAGAGAAGCAGATGGGGCCTGCCTGGGCAATGGGGATTCTCCTGGTGAATGCACCTGGTTGGACTAAGAAATAGAAGCCAGCCACCTAGCTTCGGTGGCTCCCTGCCCAGGGACCTTGGACTCTCACTGAGACTCAGGGTCATCCTGCCCATGGTCCTGAGGGTCCTTCCCTCTGTTCTGTTGAGATTATCCTCACCCTCCTTCCAGAAGCATTCCTATTCGTTCTAAACTCTGCCTTCCGTGGACAGACACTGACTGACAACTATTTCCTTGGAACTTTCTCTGGCCTGTACTGTGCCATTCTCTGGCTTGTAGGACCCATGACCATACTCTGCACACCCTGGACTGCAAAATCAGGGTGCCTCTGTCTCCCACGCTCCGAAGGGTCGCTGAGAGTTGGACACGACTGAAGCCACTTGGCACACACACACACACTGTCTCTCACATGGGCAGGGACCCCAGCTCTGCTCCAGGCCAACCCAGCACTGCACTCAGAGTAGGGCCCTGGCAAGTCGGGTGGGTGAAGGAAAACCAAAAGGAATGGCCAGACGGGTGAGTGAGGCTCTTGTCTCCCCACAGGGTCACGCTCAGGGCCAGCCCTTGTACTTCCACGTAGCTGCAGAGCCTGAGGGTTAAGTGTGTGGGCTGCAGTCACACGAGCTGGGTTCACATCCCCCCTCTGAACAAGTCACTTGCCTTCCTTGTGCCTCTGTTTCCCCATCTGTAAAATGGAGTTATAAATAGCTCCGCCTTTAGAACTGCTGTGAAGCCCTGGGACATGGTGAGGCTCATCAGACAGTTGCGTCATCGTCGGCCTGGTGCTGAGCACAGCGGTCACTGTCCTGGTATGCTCAGGTTCACGTGATGACGAAGGAGGGGCAGGAGGGGCGACACAAGCCACTTCTACACTCAGAGGTCCAAGGAAGCCCATCCCATCACATACACTCCCGGTTTCCCATGGGGCTGATGCACTGAGAGCCCAAGGCTCAGACACGGTGACTGACTTGCGCACAGGCGCAGGGGAAGCAAGAAGCCATGGGGTAAAAAGACCAGATCTTCTACCATGAAGCAGGGCTCAAACTGCAAGAACATAAAGACACCAGACCACAAGTGCTTTTCTCCAGTCATTGGAGAACTCACAGAGACTTGCTTTCCAACAGGCAAAATATGTGTTTTTTCCCCAAAAGCATAAAATACTTCAGCTGTCCAAGCTGCAACCTAAAGCTTGGCTTCTTTTGTTCCTTAAATTAAGGTCAGGGAGCCGAGGCCAACGCTCTTTTCCTCACTGCTCTCCCCTCAGAATAATTTCTGAAACAGTTGCAGGAAGAATGACCATGCACTGGGCAGTGAGGGGAGAAGACCCCAGCAAAGACAGAAAACACTGGAAAGGCCAAAATGAGAATTCCTGCCAAGTACTAAAGGATAGAGCCTGAGGGGGACACGTTCCCGAGGAGGGGCTTAAAAGAGTCAGAACAGAAGGTGAGGCTCTCTAGTCAGAAAGAGGAAGAGACACAGGGAGTCTCAGTTTGAGGAAAAACAGCAATGCCGCCAGGAAGCTACAATCTGTGAGGGGGACACAGCCCTGCCCTCAGGAAGCCCCATCGGAGGGGAAACAGTCTTGCCTCAACCAGCCTGAATTTGAGAGGAAGCACAGCCTCAGGCAGATCAGATCTGAGAGGATACAGAGCCAGATCCTCAGGGAGCCCCAGTCTGAGGGAGACACAGCCCTCCCTCAGGGAGCCCCAGTCTGAGGGAAGACACAGCCCTCCCTCAGGGAGCCCCAGTCTGAGGGAGACACAGCCCTCCCTCAGGGAGCCCCAGTCTGAGGGGAGACACAGCCCTGCCTCAGGGAGCCCCAGTCTGAGGGGAGACACGGCCCCACCTCAGGGAGCCCCAGTCTGAGGGAGACACAGCCCTCCCTCAGGGAGCCCCAGTCTGAGGGGAGACACAGCCCTCCCTCAGGGAGCCCCAGTCTGAGGGAGACACAGCCCTCCCTCAGGGAGCCCCAGTCTGAGGGGAGACAC